CTATCATTAGTCACTGATGCCACTTGACGCATGAGTTTTATGGGGTGCTGGACGAATCGTCTGAATTCCCAAGGTCTTTAGAGTCTTTACTATTACATCTACAGCTGTGAACCTATCTATCCAAATGTCAAAAAAAAACTCATTCATTTAGTGTTTATCAGGCATTTTTGATCATCCGTATTTTCAATGTTTATCATATTCTTATTTGTTTTTATTTATTGGTTTGTCAATCATATTTTATAAAATTTGGCATCAGTCATATCAATATTGCCAACACTGCTCGTTAGAAAGATGTGTTGGGAGATCGCCATTCTGGGAGTTTCTGACCAGTCCATGAGTCTAATAGTGGTACTTTTACAAATTAATATCTTCTCAAATTTTAAGCCACCAAGATTGTACTTTACAGAAATCTACATTGCAGAAACAAGTCTTCTCTATCATTTTCTTCAGTAGTTTGCAAGTTCCGACATAAAGCACCATCGACTCCAAATAAAGATGTATGGTTATAAGAGCTTTGAATTCAGCAATTCGAAGCTTTAGGACTAAAGTACCATGATTCTTCTGCTCCGGCAGTCCATTTTTCCTCGCATTCTCGCAAAGCCCTTTAGTGTCTTGTAGTTAGGGATGAGAACGATCAAAATGATCGAGCACGCGAGGAACGGAATAACCGAAACTCCACAAATTTAGTACAATCCTGTCTCTGGGTTCAAATTATACTTTGTTAGATTCTTATGCTCCTTTATCTTTCTTCTCCTCTTTATTGCAAATGTCTGTCAGTAATAAATTTAAAAATAACTGGAACCAATCGATTAGAAGCACGCCGATGAACCTTCTGAGCTCATATGAGCCTTAGCCAATTTTCTGATATTTTGAAGGACTGCCTTTGGTGTTTTTGAAAATAAGGTGAATGATACCTTCATTGTGTAATTGCACAAAACCTGGAGAACCGTTCACACAGTACATGCATTGTTCTAATTTTTTGTGTTTTCGTAATAGATCACAAAATGTAATGTAATGCAAATCACTTAGCGA